CCTCCCCTCCCCTCCCCTCCCCTCCCCTCCCCTCCTGACCACTATAGGGCTCAAAAAGCAACATCACTGCCAGGTCCATTCCCCCCACTCTGACAAACAGTTGCTTGCAGATTTCCTGCCCAGGAAGGAGCAGCTATACAAAGATCCCACCCCCAGCTCCTGAGATGGTACAGAATGCAGTAGATAAGTCACACAGCAAGGACCTGGTCTGTGGAACTCCAAGATATGCCAGGGCTGCACTGAGCAGGGAGTGATTGGCCAGGTCATTGCTGCTCTGGGTCACGATCCACAGCCTGTACACGCCTTGCTTTTGCTTGCCTTCTGGGAGGCACCACCCCCTGTGGAACAAGCAGCTGCTTTGCAAGACCATGGCTGGCAGCAAGGAGGAGGCAGCACATCATGTCCGGTGCACAGAGCCCCAGCTGGCAGATTGGGCATGTATGTGGGAATGTGCAGCGGGCTGAGACTGCTGAAGCAGGGCAGGCTGGAAGCCTGGTGGCTGGGGAGGTGGCAACAGCAAGCCCAGCACCAATGGAGCCCCTGCACCAAGGAGGAGGAAAAACTTGACACAGGTCAGCTGGGGGTGGCGGTGGGAGTGGGTAGGCAGAAGCAGCAGAATACTGCAGACTCTTCACTTCAGCCATGCTGTGCAGGGTGCCAAAAGGGCAGAGATTGGGGGAAAGATTAGGTGGGGGGAGTTGAAGTGGAGGCAGTTTGTGCAGGGCAGGAGAACGTGACCGCAGAACCTTGTGACAGTCGTAAATGCAAGCTGGTCGCCAAGTGCCAAAATGTTGATCACGTGACCACACAGAGACTGTGATAGTTGTAAGTGCAAGGATCAGTCGTAAGTCCATTTTTTCAGCGCTGTTGTAACTTTGAACAAATGGTTGCTAAGTGAGGACCATCCGTATAATAACCTTCCTTTAAAAGGGAAGATTGGAGATTAGTTTGAAATTGTCCAGTACTATTGGATCCAGTGATGGCTTCTTAAAAAAGGTGAAACCACTGATTCTTTTAAATATTTAATCAGTTAACTGAAGCTACAGCTTTACCAAGTTCCATAAATATTGACTTGGTTTGTCAATATTTGGAGTTGCTTTGTACAACTCCAATCACCTTACATACAGGTGGGCCCCAGGGCATAGTACTCCCACACCACTTCATGTATGGCTTTCGAGATTCTGACATCACAATACCAAAATCCAGCAAAAAAAAAAAAAAAAGGATGAATATTGGAGGCATTATTTCAACCTGTTTTTCAAATTTTGTGTTAGCTGTAAATATAGAAATGAGAGTACTTGTGTCTGGACAGACTCCTGCACACATCACCACTCTGATGACCCCCCAGGCCACACCCCTTTCAATGATATCACAGCACCACCAGATGACTTCCTGCTGTTTTTTAAAAGGTAAGTAAGTTAAGTTGCTGTCCACAAACTTCTTTGGAGAGAGGATGGTTTTACTTCCATTTTCACTTCAGTATAAAAGGGAAATAGAAGGCAAATGTGAGAATGTTTCCTGCTTTCCTTCCCTATCTTATAGAGCAGTGTTTCTCAACCGTGGCAACTTGAGGATAGGTAGACTTCAATTCCCAGAATTCCCCAGCCAGCCATGGGAGTTGGTCCACCCATCTTCAAGTTGCCAAGGTTGAGAAACATTGCTTTAGCAGAAAGCAAAGAGACTCGTCACATAAGCATATAAGTCACTTTGAGCTCTTGGTGAAAAAGAAGGATTTAAATACAAAAAGAAAGAAAGAAAAAAAGTCAAGGATAATTTATATTTATATTAATCTATATTAATCTTAATCTATAACTGTATCACATCTTTCTGCACAGAAGGCATTTCAGAGGGCTAACTACAGAAAGTAAAGCATAAACTTTTCTTCCCATGCTATATTTAATGGAAAGAAATGAGTAGTGTGAGATATTTACCAGTCTGAAGAAAGTATTTCTTTGCCTTATTAACAGGATCATCTGAATCTTCTGGTGTGAAAAACAGTTTCACAGCTTTGACCTTTCAAACAAAGAAATGCAAACATTGTTTATTGCTTTGTTTATCCTTAAATAAATACCATGTTTTAAAAAAACGTTGAAAGGGTACCCTGCAGCTGTCTTTAAAATGTGGCTGGGAGCAGAATTCCTCTGAGATAGATTTAGAATGTAGAGATGAAAGCATAGTAGAGTATCATACTCTGAGTAGAAGACCTGGATTCAAGGAGCCTACCTAGCTATGAAGCTCAATGGGAGGCCTTGGAACAGTTACTCCCTTTCAGCTTAATCTCCCCATCTGTCATAATGGTAAAATGGAAAGACAAACTATGTGCATAACTTTCAACTTAAAAATAATGTACAACAAGTACCATTTGTTCATTCAGCAAAGCCAAGCCAATCTGATCTGTCTGAATATTCTGCCCTTGTCCAAACCGCTGAGATCCATAGTAATTTATAAACCCATTTTTCTACAAAATTAAAACAAAAAGAAAGTATTATTTTGATAATTCTGTGAATAATAGGCAGTATGCTCACTTAAATCACTTAGAGTATGAATATTACCTTGACATTCTCAATTGCCTCACAAATTTGCTCCTTTAGCCTTGAAGTAGATTCATTATTATGGAGTTTTAAATCTCTCACAATTATGTTAAACTGATTTCCTTGCAGCTGACCAAGTCTAAGTGGCTGGCTCACAGAGTATATATGAGACACACTAAGTCCTTTTTTTTCAACTGCATTTCCAAGTTCTTTTAATCTGCAGAAAGACAGACAACCTTATTTACCCCATCATCAAATGATTAAAACTGGGCTCAACCAAATGTTTCTGCTAATTTGTTCTGCTAGAAGCAAAAAATGAGTTCAAGAAAATGCATTGTGCTTATCTATTACGTTTACAAACGACACCATTGCTGTGCGAGCTGCACCAGCTCCCAGTTTCCTTCCAGGTATAATTTAAGGTACTGGCTATTACCTTTGAAGCCCTACATGGCATGGGATCAGGTTATTTGTGGGACTGCCTCTCCCTGAGAGTATCTGCCCATCCCACCACATTGGATGGGGTCGGCACACTCCAGGTCCTTTCCCTGAAATGCTGCTATCTGGTAGGACTTGGAAGCGTGCCTTTTCTGTAGCTGCCACTACCTTGTGGAACACCTTTCCCCCAGTGATCCAGCCAGCTCCCACCCTTTTAGCCTTCCAGAAGGCCATCAAGTCCTGGCTCTTTACCCAGGCACTGGGGTAGAGGGATGGAAGCCTATGGATGGTTGTTGGGGCAGCCTAGGAGATGACTGAGTCTTGTCCTGAGTGTCATCTTTTTAGTTCCTGGTCTTATTTTTCATTTTTATGGTTTGTAGTTTTATTATTGTTGTGAGCTGTCCAGAGTTGTGGTCTAAGAGGGGTGGTGTAAGAGGGGTTGCCATAGAAACCTTTTAAATAATTTAAATAAATGTGCACCTTAATACAAATTTTATAAGCATTTCATGTTTTGCAGAACTAGGAAACAATTAAGTGTATTATGCCATTTGATGCAACAGACACAGATTTTTGCAGTTTACAGGATCAATTTTTAAATACTGTGACAGTTTATTGCCACCAGCCCATTTGGAAGAGAGTTTTAAAAAGGCATAGGAGAACATAAGATAAAGAAGCCACAATTTCAAAAAAAAAAAGCCCAACCTAAAAATAAATAGGAAACTAGAGGATCCTCCTGAAAGCAATTGTATATGGGAAGTTTCTGTACAGGTAGTCCTTGCTTAATGACCGTTTGTTTAATGATGGTCCAGAGTTACAACAGCCTTGGGAAAAGTGTTTTATGACCCCCCACAGTCATGTGATCATGATTTGCAGCCTTTTTTATGATGGTCATTTAGCGAATCACATGGTCATTAAGTGAATCACATGGTTGTTAAGCAAATTCCAGAAAAAATCCATTGGGGAAGCTGGATTTGCTTAATGACCATGGTGATTCACTTAACCATCATAAAAAGGTTTTAAAATCAGCTCAGATTCACTTAACAGCCAAATCGCTTAGTGATCTAAATTCTGGTCCCTACTGTGGTCGGATAGTGAAGACTATCTGTACTTGCCCAAAACATGAGAGGGAAAAACACTGTTCAATAGAAAGGCATTGAAAAAAAGGCTAAAGAAATGGAGACCTAACTGGCAGAAGATATTTTGTAAAAGGAAACATTTTTAATGAAAGATCTACATTGTTTTTAATATATTTATTTCGACACACAATTTTGCAGCAATTAGGAACTGCAAGAATGTAAATTAAAAAGTCAGCCCAGACCATTACCTCTAACAGTGTCTTTAAGACAAGTAACATTATGCCACCTTACTAAATATATGACTGTAGGGTTAAACATCCAAAGTAAATATTTCTCTCAAGTACCAGTTAACTAGTACTTTGAAAAATAGGACAATTCTTTTCATATTCATTATACTCAAGAAAATAGTTCATGACTCAACAGTAATGGCTTTGAGACTCATTATTCACATTATATTTTCCTCTAGTATACTTAAATTTTCCTTCATTATTTCTGAATGGGTTTTTTTTAATCATGGACAATGTTTACATAGGGATATGCAAAATGTTTCAAACTATTTCTAAAGCAAAACACCCTGTTTTAAGTTCAAAAGGGCTCCACAATGATTAAAACAGTTGTTTTTGCACTCAAAATACTCAGGAGGGTATTTTACACTCAAGATGGGTGTGTTTTAAATTCCCAACTTTTTGCCCATCCCTAAAGCAATCATGAAAGACATGATTTCATCTTAGAGATCATTAGAAAAGAAAAAAATAACAACGAAAGTACTGAAAACCTGTTGCCGTTCTATCTGAAAACTGAGTAGAGCTCTGGAACCCACATTTCAAAAAATATGTCCTATACAGTAGCTAAATAAGGAGCAGGGGAAGGCAATCACTATGATCAGGGGATTGAAGAAATGTTTGCATTTTGGGGGTTTATTAGTAAGGAGGAACATGACAGAAATATTTAAAAGTATGTACAAGGTGGAGAACATTATAGCCAGGGATTGTCCAATGAAGCTAAATAAGTGACATTTTAAAACAGGTAAAAAACTTTACCATGTGATGATGGCCACCAACTTAGCCACATTTTTAAAAAAAGGAAATGGGAACTATAACACTGGGTATTTCACCCATAGCACAACACAGGTTGTGAATGAACCTTACCTTTATTCTTTGTCCTTGAATAGTAGCTGTGACATCGACAATACTTACCCATCTCCGTCCTGATGATTTTAAATTGCAAATTTCATAGCTAAAACACCTAGCCAATTTTTAGACTTCCCTATTTCTTCCACACAGTTGTATTTTATTACATTTTGTCTGATGAAAAGACCTGAGTAACTTAAAGGCTTGCATGCTCTTATGTTATTTTGCTATTAAAGGTATTGCTGTATTACGGATAAATATGACTCTCACTAATTTCTAAATGCTGGGAACATAAACGGAAACAGGAGGATCATTCTAACTGTTCAACATATCCACTAACGTTATTCTAGTCTCTATGTGGGTGTTAGCTTTGGTTATTGTAATTATTTTTCTACTTACATTTCCTCCATAATTTCATTGGTATGTTTTTCTTTCATTGCTTGTTCATCACTTTGAACACATGGTACAAAAAGTACCTCATAAATAAGGTGAATATATTAAGAAGAAAAGAAATACAGGAATGAAAAGAAATCTTGGTAATTATTTACAATCAGATCCTGTAAAATAATTGGTAACATGCATAGTAACTTCTGCTAGTGTTTTGGGAAATATACTAGATATAAACAAAAGTTAAAGCCATTTATGAATGGACTGATAATGTATTAAAAAATAGCCTCATAGCAACTTTAACATTTTATACATGAATAATAGCAAAAGAGAGTGATCTGGTTAATAATTTAGCTTTTCTTAATTTCTCTAGTATCAAATCAACTATATTCTATTTCTCCATTTTGTTTTATAATGTTACAAAATCAGAACAAAGCAGTATATCTTTTCACATCTATTCAAACTGGAATAGAACTAAATTGTTAAAAGGAATCTTGATGTTTTTTCAAATAATGCTGAAGTTGCAGTGTCTTTAACATGCTGCAATGTCAAAATGACCCGTATGTGATGACATCATAATACACACATTGAGGCCTATGAGTTGAAATATGCTATAAATCTTTCATACCTTTGAGGGGTTACTTTCTTCACAACCATAGCTTGATAAGTAATTGCTCTTTTGTCTTTAATGCCAGTATAACTGAAGTCTGAAGGAAGTACACCAAGCTTCGCAGACAAATAATTAATTGCTTCAAGGGTTTCCAGGTTCTCTTTCCTGAGAGTAAAAGCTGCAACATCATTATAAGTTCAGTTCACTCAACATATTTTATCTCACACAGACCCTCAAGGGAAATATGCTAATGCAACATTTATTTATATGATGAACTGAAAAATCTGAAAACTGGACTCTTTTAAGATTAAACTTTCTTGTCTTGTACTAGCTTTTATTCTATCTCATGTAAGAACACTCTGACTCAAGTTGTTTTTAAGTATCAGTATCTATCGTAACAAATTTATTGCAGCTGTTTCTCTAAAAGCATATCTTTATAATTTCTGCAACACAATAAAAAGTATATTTGCCTGTAGTGTACAATTTCACAATAATGTGTACCATAACATAAAAATCAGTATTTTGACCTTCTGAGGCTAGATTTTTAGCAACTGCATGAATTATTTTTAAAGCGTAAATCGCAAATTTTTGCCCTCCACAAAAATCTCAAATCTGGATCAGATCATATATCAGGAAAAGGACAGAACAACCCTTTCTTCTCCTCCCAGTTCATTTTGGATCAGGATCTTGAGCCTTCCAGTTGTATACAGAACAAACTACTATCTTTGAGTGTATTTGTAGTGTGATATTAGTATGTTGTCATGGTGTAATGGTTAAGGTGATGAGCTTAGAATTGAGAACGCTCCCATCAAGGAAATTTGGTTGAAAATGCAGGAGGTAGGGCCAAGGGTTAAAGCTTCTGAATCTTCCACTAGATTTTGATTCACATAAGAGTTACCAAGCTACCAGTTTAAATCTAAAGCATTCATCAGTCACTATTATTTTGGTATTACATATATTCAAAATCTTCCATATTAATAGAAGATGATAGCACTGGTATGATGCTTGCCATATTAAGCCTTAATTCAAAGCCATGATTACCAGAGACCCCAGTTAGGGTTGTGCACATTTTGAACTCTGTCAAAATGTGAGCACAGCATCTCTATTTATTTTAGCCGCAGCACCTTTTTTTCAGACTTATGCAGAAGCCTGAAAAATGACATTAGTTATTAATAAAAATATAGAAACTACCACAGTCTAGATGATGCTTTTGATGATTAGCACAGAAGCACTGTATCTGTATGAGTTTTGAAACACTTTGTCAACTTCAAAATATGCACACCACCACTATGACTACGCTAGAAAACTCCATGTTAGGAAATCCTACCTATTCCAGATGCAATGCGGTGTGGATAAAAATTGACCTGCCGTATCCAGTCCAGACATAGTAACTGTGTTCTTTACATTTAAATCCACATTACAGTATGGACATGCATCTACCTGAATATTTAACTTTCAGATCAAATAATCTTTACATCTTGTTGGATAAAGCTGAGACAGTTCAGGTTACTATACAAATTAATAAAAACGTTAATGGAAACATTTTGTTTTCCTAATACAGGTAGTTCTTGTTTAGTAACTGCAATTGGTTCTGGTGAAATGTTCACTAAACGAACCTCGTAACTGAGACGGGGGAGCAGCGGGGAGAAATGCTGTGAAGATCACTGGTTGCTGCCCTCTCATTCAAAGTTCCTTGGTACAGTGCCCTGGGCCTGACCCAATTTTTCCCCCTTGCAGGGTGGAGACATTGCTTGAACAAGCTATCTCTTCCTGAGCTGCTTTTCTGGCAGTGCAGCACTTCCCTAAAAAGTGCTAATGGCAAGTTAACAAGCTCAGCTCTGTGACCTTAATTAGTTGATTAGAACCCTTCCAGCTGCTGCCTGAAACTGACCAGGCCTTAATGAGTTTCACACTGAAGGGTTTTCTTGTCTAAATGTAGGCACTGGTTGCGAAGTTATTTTTACATCATCATCATAATTGCAAACAGTTGTTATCCGAGGCAGTTGCTAAACAAGGACTACTTGTAATTTATATTATTGCAGACATTGGACTAATATTCTATATCATTTCTTAACAGAGACCAAGTTAGTTTATGGAGATCTCTCTTTGAAATAATCTGGCAGTCTGGTAATAGATTGTATGTAAGAGCACACAAACTTTTTCCAAGAAAATGATGAATTAGTGACACCTGTACCTGTATAAATGTTGTGTTTCTCTCCAGTGTCAGAATTAGCCCTTTTCCGGAATCCACTTTTCTCACGAAACCTTACCGTGATTACAAGCTTTTGTTGAGAGTCTGGGAATGATTTGGTTTCTATGAGCTTCCCAAATTTTTTATTCAGAAAATGGTGAACCAGCTTACGATTCTCTTTATTCCCATCAGGTCTGAAAGAAAACTTGGAATTTTTTAATTTGGCATCCAAAAATTTTAGAAATCCAGACGCTTCTTCTTCAGATACCAACTGGCAAAGTTCTTGGTAGTCCTGGTTTGCTTTGACAATAATCTCACCACATTTTGTAACTGTGATTAAGAAAGGGTATTCTTGCCGGATGGCCCCATGCAAGCTGGCTCGGACCTTCTTGTCAGAAATTGAACCAAGGGTGAATTCAGGAAGAACAGCTCCTGACTCAGATGTAGAGTTCCATGTGTGTTCGACATGACAAGCAAATTGATGTAGTTGTTCCCTTACAGGCTCATCTAGTAAGGAGGCCAGTATAACAGCTTTGTCAAGGTGGCATTCAGATACATGATCATCTCTATAGTCTTCACTTTCTTGAATACAAGGTGAAAGCCAATCAGTAGTACAGTGAACATTATCAACTTGAATTCCACAGCATTCCTTATGTGGGTATTCCTTATCTATCCGTAACTTTTTGGAATCCTGATGTCCACTGGTTCTTTGTTCTGCTAAGATTCCACTAGATTCTTGAAAAGAGTCTACCACAATCTCATTAACTAATTGTCCAAGTATATTAATTTCTGTCACTACAAAGTCACTTGGAAATGCTTTTATACTGCCGCAGAAGCCAGCGTGATCATTCATATAAGCGGAAAACTGGAGGATCTCTGGTGCTACAGAACTTTCTTCCATTCCAATATTATACAAACTGGACAAAAAAGGAAAGACTGATGTGTTGAGTGGCCCTGGGATAAAAGATAAGAACTTATATTTAGAGAAAGGATTTTATTTATATTTGAAACTAATTAAATATGTTGTGAAAGTTTACTGTAAAGCCAAAATTCAAGAGATACACACAATCACACACATACACACACCGTATATACTTGTCAATAAGTGGAGAACTTTAGCAGCCAAAATACACTCAAAAAATTGGGTTCAGCTTATCTGAGGATGGATTTATCCACGAGTATATATAGTAATACTTTTTTAAAGTACCTGTATATACTCATGTATAAGCCCGTGGATAAGATGACCCTCAAATTTTTAACCAAAATACCATGAAAAATGGATAATCTGCGGATTGCCCATGGATAAGCCAACTGTGAAAATTAAAACATACCAAAATTTCGAGGGTCGGTTTATCCATGATGGGCTTATACATGGGTATATACAATGTGTGTGTGTGTGTGTATACACACACACACACACACACAACATTCTCAAGAGGACAGAGGTTTCCGAAGTGTTTCTTACCACAAAAAGGGTCACACTTTACACATGTATCTGTGCTTAATGCTGCCCTCTGCTGCCCAACACTCAAGTTATAATAGATGAACTGAAAGTAGTACCAGGAGGGTCAGCATAAAAATTCAGGTGTCAGGGACATCACCTCTCAGATCTCACTGTCATTACAGGGAGTCCTTGCTTATTGACCGCCTCGTTCAGCAACCGTTTGAAGTTATAATGGTGCTGTCCTTCAGTTATGTGATCCCCATTACAGTCACTACATCTGCCCCTTGCAGAGCAGAGAGATTGGAGAGGAAGGGACTACAAGAGAGTGAACAGGCACACAATGGGGCATACATACTGAAAGTAATGTGCTCGCACCAGCAGCCTCAAATGCACTATGCAACCAGCCTGGTGTATTCCCTATTGTGTGCCTGCTTACTCTCTGTAATCCTTCCTCTCCAATGAATGCAAATACAAACATTAATCCTCTTCTTGCTAATTATCCCAGCACCAAGGTGAGCATTCCAAGGGGCAGGGGAGTGCCAAACAAAAGCCAAAGTTGTGAACTCATTAGTCTCGTCAGTTTCCACCCGGCTATCCCAGCACCCACCCAGGTGACCCAACTGTGGTCGCTAAACGAGAACTACCTGTACACAGTTGCTGCTAAACACCCTGGTGTAGACATACACAGGAATACAGTCCCAACCACAGAACTCATAACACGAGGCAGCTGCTCTTCTTGTTCCAAGGACAGACCTTCCATCTCTCTTTGGAGCTACAATGATCAAGATTAAAGCTGCGTTCTGCTGAAGGGAAGTAATAGAGCAGATGATGCCTCTCTTCAGTACCTCAGCAGAACCAGGAAAGCTACCTTGAACAATCAACCATCAGTTTCACTCATCTTTGTTAGTTTTATCCCGCCTTTCTTATTTTTATAAATAACTGAAGGCGGGGAACATTCCTGATACTCCCTCCTCCTCTTTTCTCCACAGCAACAACCCTGTGAGGTGGGTTGGGCTGAGGGAGAGGGACCGGCCCAAGGTCACCCAGCCGGCTTTCATGCCTAAGGAGGGACTTAACCACTAGACCAAACTGCCTCTTTGCGCTTTCTTTCCTTCTCACTTCTGGGAAAGTGCCCTCTGCTAGAGATCCCTTGCCTATTTGTTTGCACAATCACACACGGAGAGCTATCCGTGCAAGCAAGCCGTTGGGTCCCTGGTATCCAGGTGGAGACTGTTTCCAATCTTAGCACGTGCTACCGAAGCGGAGAGAGCCAAGCTGAGATGACAGCGACTGGCATCAGGGCAAGGCTCTCCTATGCCCTCCAAGACCCATCGGTGCAGCCGCCAGCGCCTCTTACGTTTGGGCCCCGTACTCAGTGCACCCGATCCCACGGCCGAGTCGGCGCGAGCAGCCCCAAACTGTTGCAAAACCCCTTCCACTCACCACCGAACGAAGGGGAATCAGGAGGCGGAGTCAGGCACAGAGGACCGTACCACAATCAATCGAACACTGGGGGTGGCAGCGGCAGCAAACCAGACTATCTCACTTTGGAGCAGAGCGGCTGATTAGGCTGCAGGGGACAGAAAGCTCGTTACCCCTTCACGGTGGCCAGAAGCCGGGGAAGGAAACAGGGAAGAGACCGGCGCCCCGCCCTCGCGTTTCGCTAAGGACACCAAGCCACTACTTCCCCGACATCCCTCCCAGTGGGCCGAGCTTGCTGGTCGAGAGCGTGGACGCATGCGCAGAACTCTCGTTTCGCTTGTGCACGAAATCCGGACTAAGGGGAAACTGCAGCGAGGAAGTTCCCATCTTGGCCAACGGGATGATGAGGCTGGGAGGCGGGGCCGTTTTTCTGCTTCGCTGGGTCGGAGGGCAAAACTCCCAAAGTGAGCGGCGCGGCGCTTCCTTATCGGGGAGTAGTAGTAAGTACTTATTTATTAACTAGATTTTTATTCCGACGTTTCGCCAGGAGCTCAAGGCGGCGCACTTAGGGCTCTTCCCTCCCATTTTTCCCCACAACTACCCCGTGAGGTAGGCTGGGCTAGAAAGAGTCCCGCCGTACAATGTCGCCCCTCAGAGTAAAGTCTTCCGTTTGCTGATAAAAATACAGAGGAAAAGTCGAAAAAGACTTTAGGTAGCAGTTCTGTGTCTGTAAATGGGATGGGTGGGCTGCCAGCTACATCAGCCTTGCATCTGAACTTCTTGTGGATGAGGATTTAATTAAACACCATATTAAGATTTTTTTTTAAAGTGCATTTTGTATACAGTTTGGCATAACATGAAAAATAAAACGTGGGTAAACAGTATTGAGAAGCTATGGAAGTAAACCCTGGGAAGTGGGGTTTTTTTTCTGCTCTTTCTCCC